CAAATCCTCTGCACTCTCCCCCTCCTCCTCCTCCTCCTCAGTCTCTCTCTCTCTCTCTTTTTCTATCTCTCCTCCTCTTTCTTCCTCTTTCTCCTTTCCACTAATGCAAGAGGACACAAAGAACAGAGAGAGACAGAGACAAAGTGACAGCGAGAAACCAGAGGGACAAGGAGTGAAATAAACACAGAGCTCATAGTGGTCAAGCAGCAGCAAGACATATATAAGCAATAATTGGAAAGCCTTAGATAGATAGATAGATAGATAGATAGATAGATAGATAGATAGATAGATAGATAGATAGATAGATAGAAATGACAGAGCGAGCCAGCAGGAGGGCACAGGCAGAGAGTAATAGTTAAGGTACTCAGACAGCAAAACAATGATGGATTATAGGCATTTAGTGAATGGGCATTTGACATGGTTTGTTTTGGGTGGAATGTGACACAGTGTCCCTGGGGTCCATGAGTGCTTTCCAGGATAGAAAAATGATGCATAAACCTGTCTGCAGACAGACACTGAAAATTCAGCATTTCAATTTAATAATCTGCACACACAAAGAAAAAAAACTCCTAAAAACTGAAAGAAAAATAACATTATAAAGCAAACAAAAGAGCTTAGGGAAGAATGCGCAAGCTACAACTTTTTGCCATGTGGCTAGTAATATTGTTTCCCAAGAAATCAGACCAGTATCACATAGCATTTAGGAAGCAGACATGGAGCCTTTCCGCTAAAGTAATCTGAAAAATACAGCTGCTAAAATATGAGAAAACCTTTAGTTTGCTGTAAGAAATGGGTGTTGCTACCTCTGGGACCTTGGGCAATTGCTCCACATCTTCTGCTGAGTGCTCTGGGTCCTGAGGCCATGACTGCCAACCACTGCAGGCACCGGCATCTGACCCTGCCACACCGCCTATTAGATCTGACCAATGGGCAATGCAAAGTCAAGGGCTCCTCCTTGGTTTTGATGTGTTACATGATCCACAAGACGGGGAAAAAATATTTTTGCTCTACAGTGAGCCACACAATTGAAGGTCTGGTGAATGCAGGGATGGAGAGGAAAAACGGTCCTGGGAGGAGGATTTAATTTTTTCTTAGTAAATATATCGGCATGGGGAGGTAATTTATGCTTAGAGGGGGATTACAGGAGGATATTTGCTTGCCAGGGAGCGGGCCGATCAATGATGGGGGGGGATTTTCCTGGGGTGAGAATTCCGCATGG